CGTGGTTTTACTCAGTTCCTGCAAGTAAATTCAGGGATTGGCCACGGCCGCTTCACCAGTCACCTTACCACAGAGGCTACAGACAGCGTCCTAAAGCAAGCAACACGAGAAAACCACGACACGCGAAGGTAAACCTGCTCACATTTCAGACGTCAACGGTACTTGAGGGTAGCTTCAGGCCCCAGCCGACTTCCTCCTTGGTGCCTATTAAAAACTGGCGACGAGAGAGTCCGCCTGTACATACCGGGGCAGGAGCGCCTTGCGTCGTGGAGGCTGGGACCGTCCCGCGCCGTGTATCGTCATGCCGACGCCGCACTGAGTCTGCACAGCCGCTCCGGTCGGCGTCTTGAGGCGCACTGACGGCCTTATCGCGGTCGCTGTCTTATCTGTCCGCAGGTGCCATGTCGCACAAGACCTGAGGTGCCTGAATCCGCTCCAGAGTTTCCTAACATTACGTAATTATGTAAGCAACCCAACAGTCGTCGCCGTGAAACTGGACACTAGTGAGGTTGGTGCTGAAATGGGGGGACTTGGGGTGACTTGGCGCTTATGGAAAGTACTGGTCAGCGCAACTGGACGTCACTAGCGCACTGGTGACGGATATGCTGACCACAGGACAGCCTGCCTATGCAGATTGGAGAGCTGCAGTCCACATGCGTTCACTGTTCCTTGGCATTCTGAACGCTGCTAGCCGTTCCAAACGGCCTTCATAAACACGTTAACAGCTTTGGTCACCATTGCTACTAAGGTTAGTACGGCTGTTAGTCGGAAGTAGCGCCACTGTCGCTCCCACCTCATAAGTTTGTGTCTACCATATTGTTATTGCCAACCGTAGAAAACTAGAAGAAGTTCTGAGAACTGATACGACATGGACCGCATAGAAAACGACGCGTCCAACAATTCTATTCTTTCGCGTGAATTCTTTGCCGCGGTAACGGTTCTTGCCGAACCGTTGCCTAGCAACGATAGAGGGATACTCATACAGACACAGACAGACTGACGGGCTGGATCAATGGAGTACGCCGTTGAGATGGGCTCAGGTGTAATGATATACATACCAAATTTCATAGAGAACGGTCCAGGCATTCAAAAGTTGACGGGAGAAAGGGCTTCATAAGCCTACCTTTTCAATTTTTTCAAAATAAGGGAAGGCTGCTAAAGAAATTGAAAAAAGAACGAGCTTGGGATGACTTCCTGTGGCACAACTTGCAGGTACGGAATTAACCACAATTAGCCTAGAAAACCGAAACATGCGGACGGACGGACAGACGTGGTATCTCGCGAGCAGAAGCACGCGATACAGTGGTGGGGGCGGGGGGTTTGGGGCGAAATGACTC